AGAATTAATCTCAGGATGGTTTGGTTGGAAGGGAGCTTAGAGATCATCCAGATCATCCTGCTCCCAGCCCTGCCCAGCCTGGCCTTGGGCACTGCCAGGGATCCAGGGGCAGCCACAGCTGCTCTGGGCACCCCAAGCCAGGGCCTGCCCACCCTGAGTAGAGAATTTCTCCCTAACATCTGGCCTAAATATTTCCTCTTCTAGTTTAAAACCATTCCCTCTTTTCCTATCACTACTTGGCCCTGTGCAAACTATTTCAGATATCCATGCTTATATCCCAGGAATGTGGCCCTTCAGTGTTCACCAAGGGACTGTCTGATATTGCAGATAATTTTGTTGGTAACTTTTATTTGGCCATTCCACTTTTCTTTCCTATTGCCTTACTCCACTTCCACATGACCCCACGTGCAATAAAAGGCTGAACCAGCCTTTATAATTAGACTGTCAAACCCATCAGCCTGCTCCAAGTTCTGTATGGACACAGCAGCCTGGCTGCAGGGAGAATTGGCAGGAAATCCTATTTCAGAGGGAATTGTTCCTTCCGCAAGAGGAGTGACAGACATATAGAAAAAAAAAAAAAAAAGACGTGGAAAAAATGCAAAATATGAAAATCATGTTTGGCAGATCCAGACCGAGGTCTAGGACGTGGCATTTCCAGCATTTTTGTTGTCTGCATTCTTCAGCAAAGACGCTCTCTGCAGTGCAGGACCAAGAAGTACATTTTGATGGCAAAAAAATAACTGTGTATGTGAAAAAAAACCCTGTTAAAAATGTCAGTGAAGAGGTACAAAACCCCCAGAACAGGAACAGCACTTGGCTGCCATAAACAGCATCAGGCTAGACCCAAATTCCAAACAGACTACACATTTCCCTCCCTGCCTACCCAAAATATAACATGAGTTGGCCTTAACTGAACTGACTTGGTTTTCACACCAACATGAGTGATTTAGAAGAAAAAAAAGAAAACTCTGAGGAAGCACATCCCAACAGATCTCAATCCATGGTGCTTCCACCTACACATCCCTGCACTCAGACACAGAATCCTCTATACTGCCACTGGTTTTCAAATGATTTCAGTTCCTCCCCACTGGTTTCATGCCCAACCTTTGCTCCAGTGTCTGTAAGAAGATCCTTTACTTTGTTGTCCTGAACACTGTTATCACCAACTGAAAAAAAAATAAAAATTCCAGGCTGGAACTGTAGCTACGGGGATGATTCAGAGGCTTGGATGTGTGCCTTGGAGATAATTCCATGCTATAACTGAAAAGTTAGTTTTGGAGTCAACTGGGATATTTGCACTGATTAAATAAAGGAATAATTAAATAAAGGAGGGATAATGTGGAGCAACCACAGAGAGCTGGCAGGGGAAGGGCAGGAATGGTGTGGAAGAGATGGGGGGCTCCAGGACCCCTCTCCAGCCCCAGCTTTGCACTTCTCACACACACAAGGCCTTTCAGAGAACCCCAGAGACCTCGAGGCTGGAAAAGACCTTTAGGATCAAGTGCAACCCCCAGCACCACCACTGTGCTCATCCCTAACCCCTGTCCCCAAGTGCCACATCCTCACTGCCTCTGAGCACCTCCAGGGATGGGGACTCCAAGCTTCCAGAGCTTCACAGCATTTTCCATGAAGAAGTTTTCCCCAATTTCCCATCTAAACCTCCCCTGGAGCAACTTGAGGCTATTTCCTCTCATCCTGTCCCTCATCCCTGGGAGAAGAGACCAATCCCCCGCTGGCTGTCCCCTCCTGTCAGGGAGTTCATTTTCCAGCTTTCCCACAGGTGCTCTCCCAAATTTCTTGCCCATTTCCTAATATTTTCCAGCGAGACTCCAAGCTCAGCAAGCTGGAAAAGCCGGTCAGCTTGGGACTTGGCTCTGTCAATTGACACCCACTCTGTAAAATCAAAACAATCAATATTTACATATCCTTGAAGGGTTTTTCCCAGTCCCAGGGCAGCAGTTTAGACAGCAACAACTTCCCATCCAGAGATGCAAAAAAATTAGAAATTAAAAAAAAAAAACAAAAACCAGAACCAGGAGATTCTACACCAAGTTTCATTAAACAAACCAGGGGTACAAATAACCTGGGTTAAAAACTCCACACAAAACCAAACTTCCCTCCGAAAATGATACCGAAATTGCTGCATTTCATTCTGGTTAGAAGACAAAGAAAAAAATTAAAGAGAATACACTTAAATCCAGAGAGCCAGGAGACCTGAGCACAACATTAACTGCTGAAGATTCCCAGATAAGCTGCAGAAACACAGAGGGAAAGATTTCATGCCATTAATACCCTGGGTACTGGGTGTTGTGGAAAATTTAGGACTTTTTAACAACTAATATGATCAAGTAGAAGCTGTTTATTGCTTCTATTACACTTTTATAGATTTTATAAGCTACTAAATACACACTTTTGATTGGTGTTTTTGTTTTCTTCACTTGGTTTTTGTTTGTATTTTTTGGAGTATATGACTGGTTATAGTTTATGTGCTTTACAGTTTTCTGCTAACTAGTTTTTGCGGTCTTGGTATTTGGTTTCTCAGCCTCTTCTTTCTTAATTTAGCACAATTTTTGTCCTAATAGCTTTGACCAATTCTTGAGGCTTTGACAACAAACTCAGAAGCAGCCTGGCTGGTGCATGCTATGCACCCTTGCAAATACACTGCAACAACTGGGAGCTGCTGCGAGGCTCTTCAGGCTAAGGAAAGCCAAAACACAATTCACACAAGCTTTTAATAATCTTGACAAAACAATTACACATGCTAAGGATACATTAGGGCTGGCAGGAGAACAGAGAGGCAGCGATTGCACCGGCAGGTTCGCTAAATAAATGTCACTTAATCTCCACCACTGGCGTGTGCTCAGAGTCTAAAGGCTACTCACAAACAGACAAAAAAGGTCTAAAAAACCTCTCAGGCTGTCAAAACAACTGCAGAAGCACAGGGGCAGGTGTCACAAGGCACGGGATCACACAGATCCCAGCCTGTGCAAAACAGCGGCCACCAAAAAACTAAAGTCCAAATCCCAGCGTTCAAACAAAGATAAGCCTGGCTTGTTAAGTGCTTTGGGAAGTGCATTCCAGTCACTGCCCAAATATTCAGGAGCACGGCTTCCCTACTGTTCCTTCTGCAAGGGACACACAAAACCTGAGCATCTGTGCCTTTTGAAACCATTTTCTGATTAAAATCTCAACTTCTGGGTCAAACAGAGGCAGGTACTGGACAGGTGCCCTCCAACAAACTCTTGCATCAGAGGCTCAGGAGCTCAAATTTCTGTCCCAGTGGTAAAATCTAATCATTAAAATATTACATTTCTCCAGGTTTCATGGAAATAGGCAGTTTTTTAAAAGAGAGAAAACCATCCATTCCAGTCTGCTGCAAGACAGCCCCAGAAAATTCACAGGAATTTTGGGGCATTATGTTCTAGGCACTAAAAAAGTGTCAATTAGACTTTACCCTTATGAAACAGCAGAAAACAGCACATGAAATGCATAAGAAACCAGGTTTCAGTGCTGATGTAACTGCATACCTGAAAGTTTATAAATAAAATGCTTTACAATCTTATTTTTCATTTTAAAAAAGGAACACACGTACACACTTGCATCTTCTTGCTCATACCCTGTTATTCTGGCCACAAAAAATAACCACTTTCTTTAAAAGGAAGCTGGACGATTTTGGGGTGAGGAGTAGCAGAGGGGAAACCACATTAATTGCATTAGTTTGTGCATACTGGTAGGAATTCCTCCTCAAATTTGGCACTTAGCACTCAGAGCTGCCCTTTAAAGCTTGGCAAGAATTTCTCTCCAGCCCACAAGTTTCCTAATTTCGTCTCAGGCCACACTGGTTCGTTTGGATGCACGACCTCCAGAAAGGCAGACAACCCTAAATGTGTCACTCTCACCTCAATTCACTTTGCTCCCCGTCAAGTCAGATTTAACATAAATCAAAGCCAATATATAATTAAAGCTAAGCTTAAGGTCAGTTCCAAGTTTGGAAAAAAACAAATCTGTATGAAATTAAAAGTAGCTCTGAAACATTTGAGGGAGGACTGGGGTGGTAACAGCAGTGAGCTTTTTGAACACAGCTTCTGCCCTGAACCAAAGCCCTGGGCTCAAAGCTCTGTTATTTCACCCTCTACCCCATCCAGGTCCTTTCTTCTCTTTCAGGTCTGATTTCCAGCTTTTTCTCTGTGCAAATGCTGCTCACCCACCCACAGATCTTACACCTTTTTATGGCAGGAAGGTTTTGGTAAAGATGGAATTGCACTTTTCCAGAATGGGGTTTATTCCACTGAGACTTTTCCCCACTGTTCTGCTTCCACCTACTGAAGCCTCTCAGTCTGGACTTTCTCTGTGCAAATGCTGCTCACCCACCCACAGATCTTACACCTTTTTATGGCAGGAAGGTTTTGGTAAAGATGGAATTGCACTTTTCCAGAATGGGGTTTATTCCACTAAGACTTTTCCCCACTTTGTGCTTCCACCTGCTGAAGCCTCTCAGTCTGGACTCTCATTCCCTCCCCAAACCCCAATAAAGACACTCAGAGTACCAACTGTTATCCAAAACTCGATTAAAATGGTGAGCTCTGGGCAGCTCCTGACTCTGCAGGAGAACCAAACACAGAATTCTGGATGCCTTATAAACACAGGTGGAAGAACTGCTCAAACCCATCCTAAAGGTTTTGTCTCCCTCTTCTAAGGGAAATTTTCAGCCCTCCTTTTAGGAATCTGTGTTTACAGGTAGCAATCAGCAGGGACCTGTCAGGCTTTCAAGAATCCCAGAGTGGTTTGGGTTGGAAGGGATCCCAAAGCCCATCCAGTGGCACCCCTGCCATGGCAGGGACACCTCCCACTGTCTCAGGCTGCTCCCAGCCCTGTCCAGCCTGGCCTTGGGCACTGCCAGGGATCCAGGGGCAGCCACAGCTGCTCTGGGCACTCTGTTCCAGGGTCTCACAGGTCCTGACAGGTCAAAATTTGACAGCAAAGCCCCACTCTGCCCTCACCTCTCTGGCAGCGATCGTGCGTCCAGCAGCGCTCGATGAAAATCCCGTTTATCACTGTGGGGGGACAGTTGCTCTTCCCTTTCACAGTGCCTGGGCACACATCTCCACACTCTTCTTTGTCATCCTTGTTGGCCACGATGTAATTGTCTTCTACAGAATCCAAAATCCTGGACCAGTCGATGGTGGACAGGTAGCAGAGCTCGTTGTTCTTCTCAATGCGCACGGCGCCCCGGGTGATGTTCATCAGGTTGTAGAGGCCAATTTCCTTCAGGTGAACCATCTCAAAGATCACCAGGGCGTAGTTGAAGAACAGGTGAGTCCCTCGGATCACAGTGAGGTTGGGGAAGAGGCCCTTCAAGCTCTCCAGGCCATAGACACGGAACAGCAGCAGGTAGTCTGTGATCATGGTCAGCTTGGGGAAGCTGAGCTCGCGGAAATCCTCGGGCTTGGTTTTGAACATCAGCAGGATCTGCAAGTGGCCCTCGATCACAGTGCAGTTCTCCAGCATGTTCAGCCTGGTCAGGTTGTTGCGGATGTCCATGCTCCTGCAAACTGGGAGGCAAAGGAGAATTTATTTATTTAACAGAAGGTTAATTGCTGGAGTTTTCCAAAGGCTCAGTTTTGTCCAACCACCCCGAGCTCCACTGGGGACTTGTGGCCCTCTCAGCAAGGCAGGCTTCAAGTGTTAAGAAATACACTGTGGGGAACATTCCCTGGTATAAGGTTACAAAACAAGAGCATTTCATCATTTTTGCTGCCATCTTGAGTGCCTGCCTGTTGCCTCTATCACGACTGCAGTGGTAACACCAGAGCTGGGACATCACAAAGGCAAGAGATGTCTGGGCTGTTCTCTTCAGGCAGCTGCCAGCAACACACCTACCTCGCCTCAGATTGTGCAATTAATGCCAGGGGATTAGAGGGAGGCATTTAGAATGGTTGCAGGGAGGGGAAGATAGGAAAGAATAATGGCCAGAGATGGTAGTGCTTGGGAAGAGAGCAGAAAAACCTGGAAATGCACAGGAGCACAGCCCACGCTCCTGCCCAGACTCTGCTGACAGGAGTAATTTACTACATTAGTAATTTTTGCCCTGAGCATTCTTTTCAGATGAGGTGTTGGGGCTTTTTTTGTGATTATTTTCTCAAGGGTGCAAATCTCCCTCTCTTGACTATCTGGGCAGTTTATTTCATAGAACCAGTAACCAAAGAACTGGCAAAGTAAACAAATACCTGAAACATAAATTAGAAGGTAAACTGAATAATAGGAATCCAGGCACCAGTGAAAGGAAGAAGTTTGAATAGGGAAGTATTTTTTCAACTCTAAGCACAGGTAAGAAATCATGAAGGAAATTTGTAGCACCACGCCTCTACAGCACAACAAAACAACCCTTTTGTGGCAACTCTTTTGAAACCAACTTCATAGAAACATCAACCAGGCCTTCATGTTCAAATACAGGTGGATTCTTCCTGAATTTTTCCTTTTTGAAGACTGCATCCACTCAAAGGATTCCCTCTTTTGTCTACAGCTGGTCCAGTGTCTTCCCTCCCCACTTCAGAAAAAAAACCACAGGCTCTTTCCTCTTTTTGTCACTATATGTAAAGTTCACCAGCTCTAAAACCACCACATGACTCCTCCAAGGCATCACCCAGCCTTACAAAACTGACTTGGACACAAACATTTCACAGTAAGGATTGTCTGACTCCTCATGGTTTAACACAGGGGTTAAAACCAAATTCTATGCAAATATCTTAATAATTATTCAAAAATTTGCTCCACTGACTGCAAGAAAAAAAATTTGGCAATACTAATATGGGATTTGCAGCAATGCTATTGCCCAATGGGATTTTTTGGCACTATATCCAAGCCATTTCATAAATTGCTTTCTGGAAGAAAAAAGCCAATGCACACGGTGCCTCAAGGATTAAGGATGTACTTGGAAAAAGTGGGAAAAGGAACCTGATGACCAGCCAGCAACAATTCTCTGCCCCAAACTGTACTGCTGCACATCAACCTGGGATAAAAGACCTGGGAAAGCAACAGATTCAGCTAAAATGCTCTGGGTATTTATTTGCAATAAATAACATTGGTATTTCCACAGAGCAAGTGCATGGCAGGTCAGGTCAGTGAAAGGAGAAGTAACAGAGGGACACGTAAGAAATTGAAAGACTGAATTCAACTGAAGCCACCAATGCAGCTAAAATTACCAGATAAATGCAAAATGCAACATCTTGGTTCTTATTGATCCTTGCTTCTCATTATTGTGGGGTGCACAGCAGTGTTGGGGTGGTCCCCACCACCAGCTGCTGCACACAGGATCTGTACTGCCTGCTGGAATGGACAGCTGACCTTAAGGAAAAGGAAAGGTCAAAAAATACAGACCAGGAATTACTGGTGAGAGTCAGAGCTCCAGGCTATTGCTGTGGCTGAAGGCCACGAGATGCATGAATACCCTGAGCACAATTGCCTGTGTCTTTCATCATTTTGGGCAGAATGAGGTGAGTCACCAGGGCTGGACACAAGCCCTGCAGCCACACTGCCCCTGCCCAGGGCACCTTGAGCAGGGCTGGGAAGATCTGCAGTGAGGAATGGCCAGGAAAAGCCCTCTCAGTGCTGTGGCTGCATTTTCAGGCTGTGGAAATCTTCCTTTTGTGCAGGACAGAGCCAAGGAGCTTGGTGTGGAGGAGCTGCCCCGGGTGGGCAGCTCAGTGCCCAGCACTGAGGAAATTCAGGGTCCTGGCTGGCAGAGGAGCAGATCCACAGCCAGCAAGGATTCCAAGAGGATGATCTGAATCCCAGAATGGTTTGGTGGGAAGGGACCTCAAAGCTCATCCCATCCCACCCTTGCCATGGTGGGACACCTGCCCCTGTCCCAGGCTGCTCCCAGCCCTGCCCAGCCTGGCCTTGGGCACTGCCAGGGATCCAGGGGCAGCCACAGCTGCTCTGGGCACCCCAAGCCAGGGCCTGCCCACCCTGCCAGGGAACAATTCCTGCCCAATCTCCCACCCAGCCCTGCCCTCTGCCACTGGCAGCCATTCCCTGTCCTGGCACTCCTGGTCACTGCAGCCCTGGAGCTCACAGCTCTCACCTCTCTCCTCAAACACTCCAAACCAATTAAATCACTCTGCTCCTGAACCTTTCAAGCTTCTGGAGATCACCACTAACATGAACCATGCTGCTCCTGGTCCAAGCAGCCAAAAGCTGCTCAAAGATCTTCCAACCTCCACAAAAAACTCAACCATCTGAACACCCCCACAGGCTCCAAACCTCCCTCGCTTCCAGCTCTCCCCATCCTGACACAGATTCCCCACTGCAGGCTGCAGAAAAGGTGACCAAAGGCTAACAACTCCAAATATTTTGAAAAGACGTGTTAAGGAACAAAGGTTAGCTAAAGGTGAATCTAAAAAGAAATGAGTGAAGCTTTTGAAGAGGTAAAAATATAGATCTACCAGAGCTGAAGTACAACAGCCATGGTCCATCAGCTGCTTTTCCCCACATTTAAAGAAAAATCACACTTAATTATTTTTTCATTTATTTTTCTACTTCAATTTAGTTTTTATGTGATAAATGGTATCTAAGCTCCTTCTTTTTAACACCTCAAAGATCAAAGAGAACAACAAGGAATTAAGAACATCTGAAACAAAATGGGCTTTTTAGTTTGGAGGTTTCTCCATCTTTTCATGCCTTTGAATTTTCAGCAGTTTATATCTCCTCTCCATGCAGTAGCAGCTTAAGTCACCCCATAAATTTATTGTTACCAAGACAACAAGAAGCAGTTTTAAGCAAAGTAATAAGTGTTTTTCCACAGCTTCTCTCGATAGTATTTCTTCTGCAGGGACAGGGGAATTAATCAACCATTCAGTAGGAAGGCAAGGCAGGTTTGATCCCAGAAGAAGGAGAGCAAAGTTGAGCCATCAATTATAACACAGACAACCTGGTTTCAAAAAACACATAAATCAGCTTTCAGGGAAATAAAAAAAATCACAAATTGATTCTGCAGTAGTAGGCCCAAAGCTGCTCCTGTGCAAACTACTGGCAAAACCCCCACTACACATAAATTCCTAAATTTCAGCAGAAACAACAGCACAGCTCTGAGCTGCCAGAGGAAGCACTGCTCCATCCCTGCTACCAAGCTGCTCACTGAAAAAATTACTAAATCATCCTACACATGTTCCACCAGCCCCCCCAGAAAACCAAGCTGCAGCCACGCTCTTTAAAAAACAAACAAACAAACAAATCCCAAGATGCCAAAGCCTCTTGGACAAACTGGTTTGGTAACAACCTTCAAGTCCTGAATGAAGAAACCAGATCTGATGCCAGAGGTTAAGTTTTCAAGATAGAGTCTAACCAGGGGAATAGCTGGAACTTAAACCTTGTTTATAGTAAATCATGGGGATACCAAACCTTAATGATTCACTGCTTCAGAGCTCTGGCCTTTAACAATCAAGATCAGGGTAATATGGCACAGAAGGATCACAAACCATTTGAGGTAACTATTGGTTAATTCTGCTTTTTTATTTTTTGTAGTCTTTGCTGTCTACTGAATAAACAAACTATTGCAAAAAAAATTACACTTGCTTGGGTTGGGTCAAAAGCATTGCAATTCTACATAAAGCTGATTTTTAGAAGTGGCTTTGGAGACTGGGAAAAGGAGTTTCTTGGGATTTTGGGTGTTTTTGGGGATTTCTTGTTCTTTTTTGGGTGTTTGGGATCAACTGCTGAGACAGGGAAACATCCTGCTACCAGGTTAGAGGGAAGGGCTGTACAACAGCTTCTAGCCTACTGCAGCAATTGTTTAATAAACAAAAAAACCATCTAATTGTGAAATACGGATTTTTAAGCTTCAGTTCTGCACCTCAGATGCCTTGAGCTGAGCGAACTGGATATGGACTCCAAAATGAGCCCCTGTAAACCCCCAGGCCTCAGGGAACATCTCAGGTGCCTGATGCACTGCCTGCCTCAAACACTCCAAACCAATTAAATCACTCTGCTCCTGAACCTTTCAAGCTTCTGGAGATCACCACTAACATGAACCATGCTGCTCCTGGTCCAAACAGCCAAAAGCTGCTCAAAGATCTTCCAACCTCCACAAAAAACTCAACCATCTGAACACCCCCACAGGCTCCAAACCTCCCTCGCTTCCAGCTCTCCCCATCCTGACACAGATTCCCCACTGCAGGCTGCAGAAAAGGTGACCAAAGGCTAACAACTCCAAATATTTTGAAAAGACGTGTTAAGGAACAAAGGGTAGATGACGGTGGATCTAAACAGAAATGAGTGAAGCATCTCACCGCCCAAGCCGAGGGCAAACCCCTCAAAGCCTGCCCTTCAAAGCTGGTTTGGGCTGTCTTCATGCTCCCTTCATTTGATTCAAAACCCAAAGTGCAAACAGGACTTGTGCTGCCCCGTTCCCACGCAGAGACAGCCAGTGCTGGGGGACAGCACCCCGGGAGCACTCGGGGTAGCAGCGGGGTCCGTGCTGAGCTGACACACCTGAGGATCCTCCCTGCTCCAAAGGCAGTGGGAACAGGTTCTACACCTTGCCCACATCAACATCACTGATATTCCACAAGGCAC